CAGGATTCTTGATGGACAGTTACTTGGAATACTTAGGTATCGCGATGGGAGCCACCATGCAAAGAAGGGGGAAAACATCGATTTAGGGTATGGAAGTGGGAAAGTGCATAAATTCGATATTATGATGCCGTTTCATTTTTTGTGAGCGTTACCGTGGTATCAGATTTTTTGATTAGGACAAAATGTTCATAGCCAAGAGTTGGTTGTTTTTGGCTCAAGAAATTTTGAACTGTTATGGAGCGGGTTATTCTACGCCATGGATACCGCTGTACTAGTTTAGTTGGTAGTTGGATTTTTGGTACCATGAGTTTTAGAACCTCTGCTAGCTTACTTACTTTTCAATTTTCATAAAAAGAAAGCCAGAAAATTTTTTGCAGAAAATTTTTCTAGCCTTGGTAAACAAGCTTCCGTTTAAAAAAAGACGAGTTTTCCTATATTTCTTAATGAATGGAATGCATGGAACATTGAGCAGTTGTGATTTTTAGCCTTAGGAACTCTAACTTCCTTATGAATGGGGTGTAATTAATATGTCTCAAAAAGAGGCATCCTTGTGTTAGAAATGGCCACGCAAATTGCTTCAGAGACATTGGTGTACGTAGTTAAAACAAGGGGTGCAAGTTGAGGGCATGCAACCTAAGACAAAAAATCCGGGCTTATAGGTGCACTTTAGTAACACCATCGACTGTTTTTTAATAGTCCGGTAGTCATTCTCTTTTGCTTATTTGTAAGTAAAAAGAGTGAAATTGCTGAGTGGAGGAAAAGGCAATCATAAAATAATTATTTTTTTGGTCGAGAAATTATAACAGCCGTTCCTGGAATAAATATCTGTATTTATAATAAAAATTTAATTATGTAAAAGTTATATAAAATTGGTTGGGGATTGTATAGAACAGGTGGTTGGGTAAGTTAAACTCATCTGAAGATAGCTGGAAGTACTAATATTGTTTGAAAAAAATGTAAGGACTGAAATTGGATGTTTTGTTGGACCCTCTCCAGTCTTCCTCTCCTTTAGTTCGCCATTAATAAATTATGTGAGGTGAAAATGCTCGGAATTAACCCAAGTGGTGTGATCAGCGGTAGTTTTTCGTTGGACAAATTCTGAGAATTGATTTTTTTTTTGTCAGAGCGATGTATAAAAGTAAACCGCTAAGGATTTATGACCTTTGTTTGTGTTATTTTCAGTTTACTGTTGAAAAATATCGTAAAAAAATTGGGTTCCCATTAGTGAAATATAAACTTCGATTGTTAGTAAAAAAGCATTACTACTTATTCGGAATTTTGAGCGTAGAAGACTTTCAAGCGTACCCGAATCCCGGGGCAAAATTACCCTTAGTGACACTAGAAAGCAATCATTTGTCCCATTTTTTTGGAAATGTGATTTTTCAAAAAGAATTGAGGATAAATCTTGGGTTAACATTTTTTTTTCCTTCAATTTATTTTGTATTTTTATTATTTCCATTACAGGAGACCGAATTTGCCGTTCAGTCAATCTCTCTGCTGGACGATAATCGAAGCCAACAGAGTGGCGAAGATGGCAGCAGTATTGCGATGGATTATTTGAGTGAAGCTGGTGAATGCAGTTCATCACGACGTAGCAGTCTTGCGGAGACGGCACTCAGCAGTTTAAATATAAATGTAACAGCATCAGGCCAGGAAGACGCCCCGGACGCTATCGTTGATGGTGATGCGAGCCGTGATATCGCTGATGCTGATGAAGCTGGAGATTTTAAAGAAGGCACGCCAAAGCCGGCCGACGTGGAACAGCAGGTTGAGTTGAAGGATATTTTTTATGCGCTTTGTGCTGCGCTACAGTTGCACAAAACGCGTATTGTCACAGGGTTGTCTCTGTGTGTGTGTGTGTGTGTGTGTGTGTGTGTGTGTGTGTGTGTGTGTG